TACATTCAGCATCTTGTAGAATGGCAATCAATACTTTACACACCTTTTGTAATTGATGAATATTTATCCTGGAAAGAAAGGATATTATTTAGTATATGTTAATAAAATGTTTCAGGTTTTATGTACAACAACTGAAGCTGCTGAAGACTTTCAATGTGGTCTTCAGAGAGGTGAGAAAGTGGGTTGAAAGACAGATTGCTAAAGAAACAAAAACTGTTTCTTATTTTATTTCAGGAAAAAGGCAAGCTAAATGAGTACATTTTAAGTTCGGTTGGGAATTCTCGTTTATAACTTAAAGCTTTTGTAAATACTTCATGTCTTTAAAAAGATAACATGGTAATTCTGTAATCATGTTGCTGCACAGATCCCTTTGAGAAATACAGAGAAAAAAACCATATTCATCCTCAGTATTCCACCCCATCCTTAGTATTCCACCCAACCCTTTCAACACATAAGCTTTACGTACTCTAAGACTCAGATTTTCTCCTTTTTATAGGTGAGGAGGTATGCTACCTTAGTTAAAATTTTAGTAGCAGCAAAATTAGCTTTTATCATTACTTCAGTTCATCCAATACTTCCTTGCTCTGATTTTATCCAGAAGTCACTTTGAAGCCAGTTGGTACAGGCACTGATGTTTGGTGATTGCTAAACATGGATCATTTTCGCTCTGATTCATCATAACTAATTCAGCTGAGGTGTCTAATTTGGGAACCTGGTTGCCTGAGGGTCTCTCTATAATTTATGAACTTAATAATTGCTGAGAGGTGAGATGAATCAAAGCCTAATTACACAGATGTGAAGCTTTCACATTTAATATAGGTAGAATATGGAAAAACAAAGGAAAAAACTATTTTAAAAATCCCACAGTAAATTCAATGCTGAAGATAGGAATTAGTGAATGAGTTTTCACCATGCCAGCAAATCAGTGCCTATAAAAAATAACATCAGTTGCTACTCTCCTTCCACAGCCAGTAGCAGCCTGTTTCAATCACTCATGTCACTCTAGTCACTGACAGCTCCCCTTCTTCAAGGTTTGCCTTCTCTTTTCTGCTTCTACACCTTCTGCAGCTGTTTTATTTTTCTGCCTAGACATCTCATACCAGATAATAAGGCAACCAAAACCCAGATGCAGTGTGACTACTTTATATGCAGATGAGCCTAATGCATACATGCTTATCCCCAGGGGAAGTGGCAGTCTCAAATCTTGAAGTAGGTTCCTAAGTTCCCCCGGCAGCTACTAGGAGAGGCTGGTTCACCTCCAGAGCACAGACATGCTGCCCTAGCTATCTCTCTATAGACTGTACAGGGAATATATATACTCCCAGGGTGTGAGCTGAAGCAAATGAAAACTGTAGTATTGGCTCCAGAGGACCCAGGTGAAGCTGGGCACCTGTATGCCCAGAAGGGAGGGAGCCTGATGATCACTGGAACAGAGGGAGACGTTGTTTTTCAGCCCATACAACTATGTCTGTTTGTAAAACCCTGAAAGTCTTGGAATAAGTTTCCTCCTGCGCTGCGATGCTGCCCTAAGCACTACCTGCAACTCCCTCTTGCCAGATATCTTTCTGTTCCCCTACCTTTGATTCGGCATGGCCTCCTGCCTCACCTTTGGCAGGAAAGGTGCAGTACACTCACAGATTACAGGCATGTAATAGCTCACACTCTATAATTTAAAAATAGTTTTTAGAAAGCTCACAATTCCACCAAATCTTTTAATGAGGAAAAGGTATTTGCAGGCAGCAAGTGAATTTGATTTCCATGAAGAAATCTGTAAAGTAAAATATATATTAGAATAAGTACTTAATGATTCAATTTAATATGTAGAGCTAATTTCATGTTTCAGTATGACTACTTGGCTTTTTATTTTTCTAGTTGTGTAAGAAGTCACCATCCCTGGAGGTGTTTAAGAGACGGGCAGATGTTGTACTTAGGGACATGGTTTAGTGGTGTTGGTAGAGCTAGGACAAAGGTTGGACTCGATGATCTTGAAGGTCTCTTCCAACTGAAACTGTTCTATGATTCTATGATTCTATAAGTTACACACAACTCTGGGTAATTTTTCCAAGCTGTAACAACGTGTCTTATTGTAGTCAGTGCAAAAGAAACCTATGCAAGACTAAGTAATTAGTTAAGTAAAACTTTCCTTAATTTTAATTAAAACCAAGCAAATTACAAAGCAAAAGAGAACTATGGAATTTTGTTTGATTAAAGGCTCTGGGATTTGCTATCCAGACAGAAATTCTGCATGTTTAAATTTAGCTTTTTTTTTGCTTTTGCTCTCACTACGATTGATATACTCCCACTGCAGGGAGTTCCTGTTCCTTGCTGGTAAGACACCATGTGTATAACACCAAGGAGCATTTTATATTTCTTAAACTGTAGAATTTTTATTCATGAACATGATCCTCCTTCAGATTCTGCTTTTCTTGTCCCGTGTATTATAGGAGATATAACTGAATATAAAAAAACTAGAAATGTGAGTTATTACTTTATACCAATATATTTAATTTTAGCAGCAACAAAATATTTTGCTCCAGTTTCTTGCAAAGGGAAAACCCATTCTGAAGGAGGAATGGATTCAACAAGAAAAAATATCTGCAGGTTGAGGTACAGGCATACTATATTTTTTCTGCTCCGTGATTAGATTGCAAGTCCCAGGATTTAGTGGAGTTTAAAAAGCACCCTGGTGCTCATGATCTGATCACAAGGCAAAAATGATACAGTGTGCCTGTTTCTTACTCTGTTTGTTGAAACAAGTGATGCTGGCAATTGCCAAAAGGTGCCATGTGACTGCGCATACAATAATTCAATTAATTGTAAGGAATACCTCCTTGACAATAGCACAGCTGTCCCAATGAGGCTTTATACATTGAGACAAATCCTGTGTTGAGGACTGAGAGTCACGCATATTCAAAAGGGTTTTGTTGCCTTATTTTCATATTTCTTTTACTTACAATACAGTGAGTGCATTGCATTCCAGGAAGGTGGTATCGGTTAAGGCCTTAATATGATTGCCTTCAAAATCCCTGAATAACAATAAGGGAAGTGGTTTTATTCATGTGTTGTGTGATAGTTTTTCAGGAGAGAGTTTAAGCTCTGGGCTAGTCTTCTTTTTTTTGACCTTCCTTTATTTCTTTCTTGCAAAATTAGTCTGAATTTATTACCTGGTTTTGAATACGAATGTAAATGTCAAATAAAGCAAATTATACCCTTATCATTGTTGTAATTTTGTCTCTATTTATGGCCAGCTGACCAGCCATTTCAACAATAATAAGCTGATACATTGGCATTTCTTATGTGTAATCCTCGTACCAGAGTAAGCAGAGACCACTAGGTGGAGATTTTACATTTAATTGCAGTGTCTATCTCTATATTCTAAGTTATACTTAGGATAAACACACATTCACAATAGCCGATTTAATTTTCATTGGGAAACTAAAGTGAAAGACAGAATTTTGCTAAACTCATGAGAGTCATGAAAAGAAGAAGCAGCTCTAAAGATTTATGTTTGCAGAGGACTGTGGGGTTTTTTAGACAGTCATTTGAAACACTGTGTGGTTCAACTTTGGCAAGGTTATACTTTTTTAGAATGTCACACCTTTAAAAGTGACTTGGTCTAGCAGCATAAATAAATGACGAATTTTTCTCTTCACAGAAAAAGATATATTCATTTATCAGATAAAACTTTTGCATAATTTACTTACCTCATTTAATAAGAGGGCTTGACTACAGATCTTCTTGGGAAGAGTCTCAAGTGAACGGTTTATCATTGATCTTCATAAATTAAAACATGGTTAGAAAACAAGATGTTTTATCATACTTCATAACACAAAATGTAAGTGTAAGAAAGATATGCAAATGTAAACTTTTGAGAGAAGAATCCAAGATCAGATTTAGTTACATTGCTTTGAAATTTAAATTAAATTTAGATTTTACAGAAACTACACAAGAAAAAAGTTGAAGTTACCAGTAGCAAAACATAGCACAAATAGTTACTTTTGATACATTGTGTTTATAGGCAATGGATTCATTGAATGACGAAGAAATATGCTATATTGAACAATTCAGAAAAAAAATGTGTTTATTAAATAATTTACATTCTCTGTACTGTTACTCAATGTTTTCCACACATGCTGTGACCTCCATCAAACTCTTTCCAATGGGAGCTGGTAAGGATGGAAAGGTATTTCAGCTGCTGCTCCATCCATTGCTTCAGGGCTCACTCTGTGAAGCCTGGTCCAAAGGCTACTGGCGCCAATTCTGATACCAACAGCTGACTGCCAGGAGCTTGGGTCAATGAATCATTAAAAACACAAAGTTCTTTATCTTCTTTGCTGTGAGCCAAGGGACTAGCAACAAAAAATTTTCTGCTAACAAAACCAAATCATTTATTTCCCTGGATACTATTAAAACCAGCTGATAGCTTTTCTAAGAAACCAAGATTGTACTTTTCAGGTGCTGATTTACTTGATGAGAATGATTGAAAATGCTTATAGGACTTCACATCTCCCTCTCACATACTGTAAGCTCTGCCTTACGTGGAATTTTCTGTTACAGTCGTCACAGGGATATCTGCATGGGAAATTTTCCAAGTACCTACATGCTGTTTCAGTTTTCTAAAAGGAGCTGCTATAGGTGTTGGCCAGTTGTATACAAGGATTTCCAGTTTAGATAGCAAGGTCTCAGTAGGCATTCTGAGAGAAGAGATGATTCTAAACAGTTTTACAACTTCAGGAATGTGCTTTAGTTTTAATAGATACATAGTAAAGATATTCCTAGCATGGAAGACACCTATGAGAAATCCAAATCCAAATGTGCATCCAGATGTGGTAGGCATGGGGAGTTGACAAGCATGATTCCTTCACGAAGATGTTTGAAAGTCTTAAACAAAGAAACAAACTTGGAGGAAAACCAAAAAGATAGAAAGGAAAGCTACTCGGATCTTGAACACCACCAATGTGAAAATGTGCAAGAGCAATACTTATTAAAAAGCCAAAGACTTTATCTCAGTAGATAACTGCTGTGAAATTTTCACTATTGGGCTATAATCTATAACTCTGGAAAGAAATAGTAGTTTGCTTCATCACCAATCCATGTACAGAAAAAATGAAAAAATGGCTGAGATGAGCAAATCATGAGGGAGCTTTTCCTCTGCAAATCCGAAATAACTAGACCTAGATATTATCTCCAGAAATTGAAACATAACCTGGGTGATAAGGAGTTGCAAGCTTCAGCAGCCGTTCCAATTTTTGTGTGTACATTGTCATTTACAGACATAGCTTTACTGCCTTGTCCCGTTCTTTTTAGATCAATGTCATAAACACTCGCACTGCCAGTGATGAATGATGCTTTTACAGACAGAGAGAAAATGGGCACTCACAGCCATTTCAATTTGTGTAGATCTCTGCGTACCCCAGGTTTCAAACTAGTGATACATTTATGACTGAGATGCCTGTTGACAAAAACATGTAGCATGGAAACTAAAATAATATTATCTACAAACTGGTAGACTACTTTTAAAGAGGGGAAACAGAAACCTTTCAGCCAATTCATGAGAACAACCAGGAAGATAAAGAATCATGGCAAGCAATATCTGATTTTAAAATGATGAGTGCAAGTATTTTAAGGTTTTTATCTCATAAAAGGCTGACTGTTACTGCAAGGGCAGTAGCATTTGACTTAATCTTCTTTAATATTTTATAGTTGGAATTATACTAGGTAAAGCATTAAAAATGTGCTTTTATGAATAGTTTTGCGCTGCACTCAGGTGAAAATGCTTTGTTCTGATGCAATGGACAACATTTTCCTAGGTCTTATGCATATGCTTTTTAGACCAAGACAGACATAATAAAAATGCTTTGCATTTATATACGCTAATCTATCAAAATGTCAATTTTGAACCAGAAAGATTACCCTAATTTTCCAAGACACTGAACTTGTGTCAGCTGTCAGAAGTGGTAGGGGTACCTGGGCGCCCAATAACACTGTAAATACTGGCATTTGAAAAATTTGGCCAGTACAGTTTGCGAACATCAACTAATGAGACTGTATCAGGCAAACATAGCAAACTAAGTTTATAATGGGTGGATAATGATACAAAAAGAAGCTCAGTGATTTGTCTTTGCCCTAGTGTGCAATTAGAGTCACAGCAGGAGTCAAAATTCATGAAGTGCTCACATCTTTCTCAAGCTACTCAACTATGTGGAATAGTGGTTGGATGAGACTTGGAAGGACTGACGTTTGGATGCCATTTCCTGTATTGTGAAAGGCTGGTTGCTCTGTGATACCCAAGAAGCAATCAGCTATTTAAAAGGGTAACATAGGGCAATAATTTACTCACAATTTCTGAAGTTTGCGTAGTCCAAAGAATGCTTTCCTTGATATGGTCTGAATGCAATTGTGTTGTAGAAATCTGGTACAGGTAAGGTAAGAAAGCCAGGATAATCATGATTCGTTAACTTCTTAGAAATGCAAATGTTTTATAATCCCATCTTTATCCGCATCTGCCATTTTAAGCACACTACTAAATTAACGACTGGTGTAACATCACTGAAGTCAGATTCAGTATTTTCCACCAGAAGAGAACTTTCTAAAGACTTTTTTGAGGCTATTCTGTGTGTGTCTGTCTCCAGGGTGTGTCATGTCCTATTTCTTGATTATGCTTTTGGAATAGAAGATCGTAGGTTATAAAAAGTAAGGTACAAAACAGAAAGCACTAAAGGCTGGGGAGAAAAGCCAATGTTGTTCCGGGCTACAAGTGTATTACGTTGAATTTTATTATATGTGAACCATTGCTAGCCAGCCTTCTTGGCACACTTATGCTAACATACATTGCACCTGCTGGTGCGACTCAGCTGAAAATTGGTGGCATGTATATTCTGTTTATATAAAATTGGTTCTAGCACTCTGCCAGCTCTTCAAATGACACACTATCACATGATTCTTGTTCTTGCAGGCTGCTAACCGCTTTTGGATGGAAGGCAGTTTGAGTCATTAGGAACTGTTGAATAAAAGGCAAACACCATCCAGCCAGAAGAGCTAAACTCAAATACTGTGTACTTAGGGGTTTTATGAGGATTTATCTTAAGTTTGGTATATGAATTCTTACCCTTGGAGCTGTCCCTATTTTCTTATATAGACTTCATACATGCTAGCTTTGTATGTATGCCTTAATCCTATAAGAATTTATCTGAAGTATAGGGATGATTGATTTTTTTGTTATTAACAACAGCGATATTTAAAAAGCACACAAGTCATTCTACCTGACAATGTAATATATATGAATGCCTTCCTTTTTCATAACTCACTGAAGGTCAGCCTAGTTCCTACAGGAACTCGAAACTCTTTAAGTCAAATGCCAATAAAAAGGCCATCCTACTATATAAAGACACCACCCAGCTTGGAAAAAAATGTACTAGTGGTTTGTGAGAGGACTGACTACTCAGGAGAACTTGTCATGTGTACGTCTACTTTCATAATTTTGCAATCGGTTTCCATGGTAGCTTAGCATCAAAAAAAGAAAGAAAAAAGGGAAAAATTAAAAAGATGCTTTATTTAACCTTTTAAAACAGTGAAGTTCAGTTTCGTGACAAAATGATGATATTTCTTATTAGACAGACTTATATTCTGCTTACTTATTTTTCTGTGGCAGAGAGCAAGACTAGATCTCTGTATATTGCATACAAAAGTGCCTGCATCCGTGCACCTCTGGATACAGTGGAAGACCAACATGATAAAAACATGAATTTTAAAGGCAGATGCCATGCTATACTGTTAAAAAAGTGATCACACAGGTGACTATACATTGATGTTGTTCATTCTGTATACTCCAGGACTCATATAATAACATGATAAACTATCAAGATACTCACTTCCTCTTCACCTTTGTACACTTGCTGAGAACTTCGTCTTGAAGAGAAGTGATCTGGTTGTGTGTAAGTGACCTAAAAGTAATTGGTAACTGATGTTTAAATTAGGTCTTAAGTGGCCAGTGTTGCAACTGTCAAAAATCAGACCTCACATCTGGCTGCAGCTGACACAGAATCGGAGCCCGGAAAGGATTTTGGACACATTCCATTACGTTACTCCGGGGAGGGCGGTATGCTGGGTTCATTACCTTGCTTATGAAGCCTGGGTAACCTCAGCTTCTTTGTCATCTGTCCTTACTGTTTAAAGACTGACCTGAAGCTTGAGTGCCCTCCTGGGATTAGCTGGGAGAAGACAGGCCTCCCTTTGGTCTGTTTGGAAAGTAAATGTACTTGACTGCTTGAACAAGCTAGCTGAAGACCAGCAAATTTCATTGCTGAGTTTTAAGACTGGCTTCTTTTAAATACTTTCCTTTGGTGACTCAGACAGATCTTTGAGAATTTCTCATATTAACAAGTATTCAGCCATATATGAATTTTGACAACCTGTAGCACTGAAGCTGGCAAAATTAAATAGGGAGTTGCCATCTTTAAGAACTAATAATCCTGAAATTCCTGCTTTCGTAACTTCAGCATATTTGGTGGGTGCTCATTACCCCAGTGCTGGCTGCACAACCAGTGATCTTTAGTAGTGCCCTGGGGCTGACAGGCTTTAAGCAATAGGAATGATGAGCCCAAATAGCATTCATTTCACCTAGTTGTAAACACCTACAGTGCAAAATGCACATCTCGGCTAATACCGCAAGCTCTCTTTAGAGGAGAGAAGTAAACACCTTCTGTGTGCAGTTTGTATGACCTGTATTAGATGACTGTGTTGACACATATATTTTGTCAGATGAATTCCATGCTGAAGTAGGCCTTGCAGCAGAATGCTCGCAGCATTCACTACGTACTAGTAAATCACCCAGTAAATATCTATAGTCGGTCAAGGTTTTCTGCAGTCTCTGAATGCAGAGGGCCCATATTTGGTAGTATAACACTACGCAAAATGAGTTTAGGCATCTCTTTGTCCGTAAAACACCTTTATGCTGGAGAGCAAAGGGAACTCTACTTACAGGAGGGTTACGTTACTTGAAACAAGTGGAACAGACTTCAACAGCAGCACATTCTAGTTCTGTTTCCATGCAGCTGCAGCCTTCTGGGTATTGGTAGAGACCGGGAAAAAGGGATTCTTGAGTGAATGTCTTACATATGACCCACCAAGTACATCTGATCAGATGGAGTGTCATTCTGAGACCTCTTTTTAGAAAGAGATTGGACATCTAGATGCAACACTCCCGAATTACCTTAGTAAGGTTCACTTATCAGGAAGGCTATAAAACACTGATGCTGCACTTCCTAGGTCTGCACTGCTTTACATGAAATGAAAGCAAATTTAAGTAAAACATAAATCAAGTTTAATATCGAACTCTCTATAAGCTACAATAAGGGTAACTGAAACACAATACGTACTTGATACATTTATAAATTTATATATACACACAAATGAGAACATCTGAGAAATTGCTGATGGAACAGTTTCCACTGGAGAATGCAGATCTGTTTAAGTTACTACTCTTCACCGAGAAATTGAATGCTTTGGTTTTAGTGCAGACCAGAGGGAACACAGCATCTAAACTTGCCTCTTGCTTGCCAAGACACTGTCCTTGATTTTTGAGATATAAGGGAAGGGCTTTTTGGGTACCCCAACTTGGCAGTCCATCTGAAGATCTGTCCCAGAGCTGTAATGCTGTGACTGAGCTGAGCCTTTTGAGTTTATGACTCTTCATCAGTAGGCGGGAGGAAATATTTTAGAAGGCATCAACATAAAACATTTCAAGATTTGATTTTTTTTTTAATGTTTCACAGAGAAGCCTTTGTTTTTTCTTGCGTTCCTGAGTGGGATGAAAACAAATACTGACTTTCCAAAAGCTTCCAGAAATGTAATTACCATTTTCCTGCAACTTTATAAAGCTGCAACCTGGCACTACCAAATAAGTTTGTTCCACATTGCATTACTCTGCTGTGCTCTGATAGGCATAGAAAAAGCTCTGGGAAAGTAAAGTAGTTCCCTGAGCACATCTAAAATTCCAGATATCTCTATAATTATAATAAATATGTGTATGCTCTGAAAAGCCTTAGAAGTGTAAAATACTTTAAGGATATTAATAAGGGCATTAGAATTAAGTTAGAATTATTCTGATGAATCCAGATAATCAGTCTTCCCATGAACCATGTCAAAGATACTTGCCCATCCATCACAATCTCCTATAAAAAGTGTTAATGTCTATCAGCTTTTAATGAAAACCAGAACATTAATGCAAATTTGCCTGTGGGGTACATGTGTTTTCTTACATGGGCTGAAACCAAAAGTAAATCTTAGAACAGATTGTTTCTATTGTCTTTTCTGGTGATTATGGGTAGCAATTATAAGCCCAAATTAAGACACCTCAAGAAATTGAATATTCAAGAAATCGAATATCAGAAGTGTAGCAGACTATAAGCGTGGCAGAGAGAAACAGAGAGAAATAGAGAGAAAAATCTAATATTGATGCTTTCGAGGTCCCTTCCAACACCTAACATTCTGTGATTCTGTGTTGATGAACTGAATGATAAAGTAGAATGATTAATGTAGTGGAGAAACTTACACTGCAGTACATGGTATAGCATGGAGAGTTACAAGTTAATTGCAGTGAAAATCTACACATGATAATGGAAGTGTCTCAGGACAAGACTGTGAGTCAGAAAGTGATTCAGTAAAAACCAGAAAGTTTACACCAGTTTCAGTAAATGAATATGTTTGGTGATCTCAAATTTCAGGCAAAGCCATGGAAGGTGATGAGAACAGATCATTATTGGGCCACCTAAATGTACAGGCAACTGTACAAGTTATATGAGATTTAAGAAAAAATCAGTTAAAATTTATAAAGCTTAGACTTTTTTTTAATAGATTGGCAGAAAGTGGGAATCTCTGTTACATATGGAGAATGTCAGTCTTTGGGGCAATCAGTGTTAGTACACCAGAGTGCAGTTTGGAGCTAGGAATGGCACCGGTACGTAGGTGAATAGTAAACAGAAAAGGTGCAATGTGGAAATTCATAAGCACAAATGACCGCATCCAAAGATCATAAAATCATGTGATCTACTCTAGGTGGTCCTGCTCTGGCAGGGGGGTTGTACTAGATAATCTTTCGAGATCCCTTCCAACCCCTAACATTCTGTGATTCTGTGATTTTGTGATTCCGTGAATAGGCCTCTAAGATCATCAAGTCCAACCATTGACCTAACACCACCATGCCCACTAAACCATATCCTGAAGTGCCACGTCTACATGTTTTCTGAACACCTCCAGGGATGGTGACTCCACCACTTCCCTGGGCAGCCTGTTCCAATGGTTGACCACTCTTTCAGTAAAGACTTTTTTCCTAACATCCAATCTAAACCTCCCCTGGCACAACTTGGGGCCATTTCCTCTCGTCCTATCACTTGTTACTTGAGAGAAGAGACCAACCCCCACTTCACTACAACCTCCTTTCAGGTAGTTGTAGAGAGTGATCAGGTCTCCCCTCAGTCTCCTACAGCCTAAACAACCCCAGTTCCCTCAGCCACTCCTCATAAGACCTGTAAAGAAGGTAGCTGAGGGGTAATGAAAAAGGAAAGAGGCACAGGAGGATGATTTGAAACACCTAGAAAGAAGAAAAGGAAGTGAAAGAGATGTAAGAATTTCACTAGGAGGCAGGTGGGGAGGAAGGATACTAAGCAGGAGATGACAGTGGACTTGACACATTATCTTCTGATCCAACATGCTTCAGAGTCACAGAAGCAGTGAAATGTGATGTAGAGGAAATCATGCTCCAAAATAGGGATCATTTGTTAGCCAAGAAAGGAGATTGGTCTCATTGATCTGACTTCCTCATTGCTTTTTTGGATTGAGAGTGGGCGTGGAGATCAATAAGACAGAGAGGAATGGTAGCGTGGTCACCACTGAGTGTATATGCGCTTATGCACATGTACCAACCTGTGTAGATATCTAAGATCCTTGCAACACTTGAAATCATAATAGAATAAGAATTCTTCACTTCTGGTGGTAGAAAGCCTTACTGAGCATAAGTACCCCCACTGATGTGCAGGAGTTTGTGCAGCCGCTTTGAAGGATTCTCCACACAGATATGCAGTGCTGTCCACAGCAGAGGATAAGGTAGTAGGGATTCTACAGGCATCTCACCACTGGAATCTGCTTTGGGCATGACTTTAGACACCCTGTCAGTTTTCTTTGCTGAGCAGCGTGGTGTAATTCCCTCACTTATTGAAGAAAAGAAAATATTCAATTATGCTGAAAAGCCCAGATTTGTCAGGCTGATGGATCATCTGCCAGCTATTAGTGATTCAGTGTGTATTAGCTGGAGGAGCACATCCCACAACCAGATTTTGTTTCTGTATACTTACAGATGTTGCAGTACTCACCACAGTTCTCTTCATCTGCACAGTCATTTATGCTGTCACAATGAAATGCCCACGGGAGGCATGTCATACGACTTCTGCATGGAAAATAACCCTTTTGGCAGACAACACCAGCTGAAATGTCTTCTATCAGCCAGCATTCTGCGAAAATGTGGGAAGACATTTCCTTTATAACAGAGTAAGTTTCAAATTAGAAAGGCCGGATAAGACTACAAGCACAGCATGCATCAGAATATTTTGATTTTTCTCTTTAAAGTGCATTGTATGCAATTTTAATTCTGCCTCTTGCATTACAGTATCAGCTGTATCATAGTACAAATGGCTTACCACAACTGAAATTTAGAAAGGACAACTTAAAGTTTCCATTTGTTTTCCTTCTTTCTTTCCCATCATCTGCAGAACACATTGCTGTCCTGAAAGAAACCCGTCAGTGTACTTTCCTGATAGACTGATTCCTTGAAGGTGTGAACATTAAGCAGCAGAACCCTGTAGCGTGGCTGGGGATGGACAGGGAAGTGATACTTGGGTGCTCCTGGCTGCAGGAAATGGAAGTCTGATGTGAAGAGAGAATTTCCAGCTGGAGCATGTGGAAAGCCACTTCCCATGCCAAAGGCAGCTGGGCAACAGTGAAGTCCCCACTTACACATCAGAGAAGTACAACTACTAAGAACACTTACTGCACACAATTACAGTAAAATCTTTGAGCAATTGGCAAGTCAGATCTTGGTACGAATCTGCAAAGCCGGCCTCAGATTTATGGCTTTTCTTTTGGGATTTTTTTGCAATAATGAAGTGACATTTAAGGGCTTGTTAATCACTCATTTAGACAAGATGTTCAAAGCAAGAGAATAGTTCTTATTTCCTCTATTGACGCACATGGAGAATGACTCGTTTTCTGCAGAACATTTGCAGGAAATCCGCTCTGTTGTTTCATTACAGGTATGGAGCATGTGTCTGTTTGCAAAAACACTTTTTCCCTTTCACAAAGTTTACAGCAGTTTTATGGCCAAGAAAAACTACTGAAAGAATGCTAAAACTGCAAAAAAGCAAACCAAAAAAACCAGGAAAGTTCTTTGTATCATACAGAGCTGATTCTATTCTTACTCATTAGTAGCATCTTTGAAAAGTGAAGTTCAAGTTTGACAAGGCAAATTTGATTATAATCTTAGTTGGACAGGTAGGAATGTCTATGGACCCCCCTTGCAAAGGCAGACATGCTGACTGTAGACACATGGGACTCCTATGGGACTATATACAAGATTAAAATGAAACATATGGGATAAAATTGTAGGGAGGAATGACAGAAACAAAGTGAAGTAATCCAATTCCTATGAGGCTGATGGACAATTAGGGGCTATATAGTATCAGCAAGGATGGAAAGAACAAATTCAGCTAAACGATCATCTTTGAAAACTGAGTATGTTTTAGTCTTATGTAACTGATACTGTCCTACTATGTCCCTTTTTGTATGATGCAAAGAATTAACGTTAAGACATGATGATATGAGATGAAATACATAGTTGATTCCAAACTCAGGCTTGATATCCATATTCGGTTAATTTTGGAAATCTCATCAAGATATGCCTTGTCTTTTAAGTGACAGATACCTCTAACATTCTCGGTACAAAACTTAAAAATCTATTAAGAGGCTTAGACTATAGCTTTTCTGAAGTCTTTTGTTGGGCTCCACTATGTGGATAAAATCAGGTAGTTTAGACTTCTTAAACTGTAGATCTTTGTATATCAGTATTTTGAATAATAGATGCTGATAATTTGCTGGTTTTGTCAA